CTCTCTGTCAAATAAATAAATAAAAATCTTTAAAAATAAATAAATAAATAAATAAATAAAGTTTTCCCAAATCACTGATTTCCCCAACAGCATTTCCTGTTATACAAACTCCAGACCAAACAGCTGAGAGGAGTGGGACAAGCTAACACTAAGGTTCTTGTAGCACTAGAATGAGATGATATAATGTAATGCAATATATCACCTTTTTATATAATATACTAAATCTTTCATTAATCACCATGGGATTCTCATTAGCCCTTGTAGAAAAATGGTTAATACACAGAAAGTTCAATTCCAGCTTGAACAAAGTGAGAGGAGAAAGCAGAAGTCAAAGTATAATTTAATTATTAGATCTAAGTGGAGGAATTTTCAGTGACATGAAGACTAAAAGAACTCAAAGTTCCAGGCATACTATGAGTGCTCTCAAGAAAGGCAAGAAAGGTAAATTTAGAAAATATGTTCTAATATCCAAAGAACATAATGAACAAAGAACACTAGCCATGTCAGCCAAATATTATATTTAAATTTAATTATGTTCCTGTAGTTAATAATTTTTTTCTGCAAAATCTAAGAATCTCTATGAGATACTCAGATATAAGCTACAAAATAATCATTTATTGTATCAGGAAATAAGCTTTAACTATAATAAATATGATCACACAGAAATACATAAACAGTTTTTATTATTTAAATGTATTTAATTGGAGTATATGTTTGTCATGGTAAGCTTAATTTGCTAATGACTTCTTTTTTTTTTTGTTAATGATATTTTAGATCAACTTATCGCTCTTGTGGTAACTAAACCACCTAACTTCATGTGGAGTAGGCATGTTTGTAAATCAGAAAGCTTAACACCCTATCTCTCTTTTTGCAGATTGTTCAAAATAAAATACACAAAAACATTCAAGTCCAAATGCAACTCAAGCCTACATTCTATAACAATCACCAGCACTGCAAAATCAAAAGAGCAATTCCAAACCAGTTATTATTGACCACTGTTATATATTACGGAGGGAGAATTTAGGACTTTCTCAAGATGAGGAGATTACTTCAGAGTACGATCAGTTACAGGAAGCAAAGGAAAAGAAAATGTCAAAGAAATTCTAGACAATGAGGAAAAAAATGGTAAAAAATTTCACTCCTGAGCTTGAGAATGATTGACAACACACAAATAAATAATGCTTCAGACACACAGGGACGTACCCCCACTCTAACATAGATACATGCACACACACACATGCACACACACACATACACAAAGAGACAATTGTAGGATAGACATACTAACACTGCTGAAACTCATATTCATATCTCCATGAATCTTTGCACAGGTATTCACATTTCACTGAATTTCTTCACTTTCTAAAACTCATAAAGCTAAATGAAAAAAGATACTTGATAAACAAGACAGATTGGACAGAAGGTAAATAATACTTATCAAAAAAGTGGATTGTTGGTAGATCTGAGACAGGTAGAAAGGAAGAGAGAATGTTCAAACACCACAGAATTACTATCACATTTCTAAAATGTCAGAGAGGACCAAATCTATTTCTAACAAACTAAAGAGACGAAACTGCTGTAAACTCTAACCTGTGGGGCAAAGTTAAAAGTGAAGTGGTCCATTCGGGACCTAGGAAAAGAAAGCAAGGATGAAAGGAGCCATGATATTTTCACAGACCACTACACATAAAATACCTTTTTACTATATCTTCCCCATTCCAGCACGGCAGTCCATCAGCAGCAGCTAATTCATTAGCACAAAGCTCATCAGCCAGGCCCCCATAGAACGTCCTGTACAGTCGAAGACTGTTGATAAATTCTCTGAATGGGAAAACAAAGAAAACAATTAAAACCAAAAATCAATAATAAATGCCGATATAAAATGGCATAATTTGTTATGCATGATATATAGAATGCATCTTTTTTGATTTTTACTGCTTATTTTTTTTTAAAGATTTATCACATCATGAAATCTAAACTTCCTTAGGAGGGAAATGGGTTCTTCCCTATTTTAAAAGTCTAAAATCATAGAAAAAATGATAATTATTAAAAAATATTATGATGCCCTAAGGCAAAAGTTCTCACACTTGACTGGTCATCAGAATCATCTGGAGAGCTCAGATTCCTGGCCCCAACCCAGGGTTACCAATTCAATGAAGGTCGGGGGGGGGGCCTAAAAATTGGGGAACTAAATTCACTACATATTCAGAACATAATATATATATATATATAACAACGTAAGTTTGTCCATTGTTTCCTTCAGGGAATGTCACATTGCATTTCTTTTTAACTCTACTTACCCACATCTTCTTCAAGGTGAAGTCTTCATGTAATATAATTAGAATGTCTCTTAAATAAACATCTTTCTTCCTTACTAATGAGTTAGCTGACATGAAGAAAAAAAACAACTTTTTTCTGGAGTAATTAATTAGATGAAATAAGAAAACCACTTTTTTAGGGGAAAATAAAGTGCTCGGAAAAAATAAGAAGGCAAACCAATATATAAATTTCAGAAAATAAAAGCAAATGTACAGTCAATGATGTATTGGAAAATAGCATTTCTGAATGTATGGTTTTGTATAAAGAAACTTAGATAAAAATTTGTAATTCTATCCAATTGCCAAACATCATCCCATGCCTTTTCCATATCTGGGATTAACTTAATTTTTTTATCGTACCACTCACATGTTGCCTCTGTATGAACTTCCAGTGTGAATATTATGCCACATCTCTCTTCCATTTTACTTTAAAATATAATAAACCGGGCGCCTGGGTGGCTCAGT